CGATGTGCCACGGGGTCCTCTGTGTGACGCAGAGCAGTGGTGACCGCGGCTCCCGGCCAGCTCTGCAGTCACGAGGCTGAACGGCCGATTCTCTCACAACCGCTCTGCCCCATACAGCCCTTCTGGCCTCACGTTCAGCACGGCGTTCAGACAGTCACACGGGACAGTCAGCGGTGTCTCGTCACATAGGCTTTGTGCTGCGGGACTGGGCCCAGCGTAGACTGCTGTCGGGAGCACGCGTCAGGGGGGCCCGGCCGAGCCGTGCTGTCCAGGAGGTTAGCTGCCTAACGTGCAGTTTCAGCTTTAGGAGGTTTTCAGCTCTCAGCGGCTCGATCGGGGTGTAGCCCTCTTAGAAGTCCAGGAAGATCTGTGTTTTCTTCCGCCTTAGTCTTTCTTTTCCAAGGCGTTTCTAAGGAGAGAAGATCAAGAGCTATGCTCTCTGAAAGAAAAGCATAAGCATTTCCCCGGGTCTTAAAAATGCTTTGTGAGCATGGCTCATAAAAGCCACATAGTCCCGTGGGCGTCCCTCTTGTGTTGGAACGGAGTTACTCCCGTGGGAAAGTGTCCCGTTACTTCCCACGACCATGAACAGCGCTGTCACGACCTCTGTGCGGGGCACCGGCCTGTTCCCGTGGGTTTGTTTTCAGGCTGTCACGAGGCATTTCCTGGCAGCCTGAGTGTTGTTTTAAGAAAGCCTACGTTGCAGTGCCTCCGTAAGCATCTGATTCTCGCTTTCGGCTCAGGTCGTGATCTCACGGTTTCTGAGTTTGAGTCCCAAGTAGGGCTCTGTGCTGACCATGTGGAGCCTGCTTGGGATCCTGTCTCCTTTTTCTCTCTTCTCTCTGCCCCCTCCCCTGCTCACGTTTGCTTCCTTTCTTTCTCTCACATAAGTGAAAAAACTTTATTAAGTTACTTAGAAAAGAAAGCTTGTATCATCCTGAATTCATAGGTAAAAATTGAGGTTTTATTTTGATTCACAACTTTCAGTGCTTGGATTAGTAATAAGATTGTGTTTTTGTTTACGGTTTCCTATTTTTGTCTATTCCTGTCCTGAGCCTGAGTGTCTTTAAAAGGCAATGGGTTTCTTCCCTTAAGTGTCACTTCCTTACCCCTGTGGCTGGCTGTTTCTCCTCAGTCTTTATGAAAAGGCCTGTGAACCTCTCGGCGTGTTGTGTGTGAAGGCAGCATTTTCCCGAATTTCCTTCTAAATGAGACCAGGACTAGAAGTTGGGGGGAAGGGGACAGGAACAGGGGGAGGGCCCCCATGCACACCAGCTGTCCCTCTGCACCCTCCCCACCCCCAAATCTTCATGTCTGTGGTGGATCAGGCCCTGTGCCGCCTACAGGGACCCTGGGCCCCAGGCCCTGGTGTGCGCTTCCCGCTGCCAGAGGCTTTCCCACGGGCTGGCAGGCAGTCGGGGCCTGTCCGGCTTGCAGATCACCCAGGAGGCAGTTGGAGTTTCGGGGCAGGTTCGGGCAGAGGCATCGGGTCCCCCAGGGGCGTGCGGGGGGCAGCCTCTGGGTAACCAGCAGAATCGATCGCGCCGCTGAAATGTTCGGGGTGCGTTTCCCGGTCACCCTGCCACATTTTCTCCCCAGGTGGTTTGTGTGCACAAGGTCCCGGAAGGCCCAGTGCCTGAGAGCTTATCAGCGGCACCACGGTCTCATCCTGTCTCCTCCAGCCTGTCGCTGGCGAGAACCCCCGTCCTGGGAAGGGGCAGCAGAGATCGGGAGGGGACTTTAGCCGGGGTCGGGCCTCCCTGAGTTGCCCATGCTCCCTCGGGGGGGCGGGGGG